CCGAGTTCTTTGTATATCCTGGAGATTAATGCTCTATCTGAGGTGCAGGTGGCAAAGATTTTCTCCCATTCTGTAGGCCTTCTCTTCACATTCTTGATTGTTTCCATTGCTTTTATTGATTCTTGATTTTACTTCTTATGCTTTGGGTGTTTTATTGAGGAATTCAGTTCCTAAGCTGACACTATGGAGATTTGGGCCTATTTTTCTTCTATTAGACGCAGGGTTTCTTATCTTATGTCCTTGATCCACTTTTGAGTTTTGTGCAGGGTGAGATAGAATGTTTTGTTGTTGTTATAATATATTCATACACTCACACAATAAAACAGTATGATTTGATCAATTTCATTCCAAAGTCCCTCCCCCGTTCCCCTTCTTCTATTCTACTGGTCTCCCTTATGTTTTTTTTTTAATTCCTTCTAATTAGTTATACATGACTGTGGAATGCATTTTGATACACTGCACATAAATGGAGGAGATAGGGGTTTAATTTCATTTTGTTATATACAGATTTCCAGTTTTCCCAGCACCATTTGTTGAAGAGGCTGTCTTTTCTCCAGTGTATGTTTGTGGCACCTTTTTGTAGTATAACTGTATTTATGTGCATTTGTCTTTATGTCTTGTATTCTGTACCATTGATCTTTGCATCTGCTTTGGTGCCAATACTATGCCATTTTTGTTACTATAGCTCTGAAGTATAATTYAAGGTCTGGTATTGTGATACCTCCTGCTTCACTTTTCTTGCTGAGTATTACTTTGGCTATTCTGGGCCTCTTATTTTTCCAAATGAATTTCATGACTGCTTTTTCTAGTTCTATGAAGCATGTCATTAGGATTTTAATAGGAATTGCATTAAATTTGTATAACAATTATGGTAGTATGGCCATTTTGACAATATTAATTCTTTCTATCCAACAACATTGCATGATCTTTCCATCTCCTAAATTCTTTGGATTCTTTCTATAGTGTTCTGTAGTTTTCATAGTAGAGTATTTTCACCTCTTTACATTGCTAAGATTGATTCCCAAATATTTTAGTTTCTGAGGCTATTGTGAGTGGGATAGTTTTCCTAATTTCTCTTTCAATTGATAAATCAATTGATTTATGGGTATTAATTTTGTATCCTACTACTTTGCTACATTCACTTATATGAGTTCTAGAAGTTTTCTGGTGGGTGTTTTAAATATAGAATCATGTCCTCGGCAAATAGGGATAGTTTGAGTTTTTCTTTGGATTTACTGAGAGGCAAATAGCCTGGTTCATTGTTTGAGACACTACCTAAGCAAACACATCCCTTGGAAATGGCCCAGGGAAAGAATGGTCAGTGTGCTGCATTCTTGGCATACCCTGTGAAACAGTGGGACACTCAGAGTCAATTCTGATTGCCTTTCCCAAGAATATTGTGTTGAAAATCAGACATCAATATCTGAGTCCAAAATTAATTCAGAAGAGTTGATCTATCAATTTAAAATTGTCTTGGGAATATTTTTATTTAGCTTCTTTTTAATGCTCAGTGCACAAAAATGATATGAAAATTTGTCCAACTTGTTGGTCAACTTAGTAAAACAAAAAGGGGTGGGGATGTAGCTCAGTGATATAGAGTACTCTGTGCAAGGACCTGGGTTTAATTCCAAGTAGCACAAGATTGGGTTTGCACTATTGCCCAGGCAGGTCTGAAGCCATCTTTCTTTTTGGGGAAGGGTACTGAGGATTGACACAGGGATGCTTTACCACTAAGCTATATCCCCACCCCCCCTTTTTAAATTTCTTATTTTCAATCAGGTTCTTACTAAGTTATTTAGGGCCTCAGTAAGTTGCTGAGGCTGGCCTTGCAAACCTCCTACTTCCCAAATAGCTGGGATTACAGGCATGTGCCACCATGCCTGGCTGAATCGATCCTCATTCTTCAGCCTCCTTAGACTGGGATTAAAGAAGTGCACCATTGTGCTTGGCTGTTGTAAAAATTTTGAATACTTGTTGCTAGTATATAAAAATCCAATTCACTTTGGTACACTGGCCTTATATCCTATGACCTTTGCTAAACTTAGTTCTAGTATTTCTGGTTACTGGCTCTAGTATTTTCTCTATATTCTGTGAACTCTCCTACAGACAATTATGTCATCTGCAAATAAAGACGTTTACTTCAGCAATTCTGAACATTGAGTCTTTCACCATTGTGTTTACTTGTGTTGTTCACAGAGACCCTTTATCAGGCTGTTTCTTTTTATTCCTAGTTCACTTAGAATTCAATTATGGTGTGCTGTGGGGTAGTCTTGTATATCCTGCTCTGGGATCAAGCTTTTTGGAACCCTGGTATTATTATACTTTTCATCACAATACAGGAAGTGAATACTAAGCAGTGCAGGTGGACAGACATAGTAGACTCGTGTGCCTACCATCCATTTCTTCAGAGAAGCATTCTTTCCTGTTCCATGATGATCCTGTACCCAACCTGCCTTAACACTAAGTCCATCACTAAAAGGCAGGGTCAATCAGAGACCATCTTAGGTCTTTTCTGTTAATTGCACTTCTGAGTTAGTGTTAACAGAATAACACTACCCATATTCTCCCAGGAGTTATAAACTGTTTGCAAAAAAAACACAGAATGAACATGAAAAGAAGGACAGAGATGAGCTAGAGAAAGTCCTGCAGATACTGGGCTCTGGATCTAGCCATGTGGAAATAGCTCTATTCTTGGACTTTTTAATTTTGAGGACCAATAAATGCTTCTTGTGATAAAATTAACTTGAGATTTCTTGTTAATTTTACTCATCTGCAATGGAGTCTATGTTACCCTGTGAATATATAACTTCTTTTTCTTTAATTTTTTTTGTTGTTGTAGATGAACACAATAACTTTATTTATTTATCTTTATGTAGTGCTGAGGATTGAACCTAGGGCCTCACATATRCTAGATAAGTGCCCTCCCATTGAGCTACAACCCCAGCCCATATGTAACTTCTGAGGGAAAAGGTGAGGAAATTTTATATATGTGTGTATGTGTGTGTGTGTGTGTATAAATATGAACTCATTTGTCTGTTTGTTCTGATCAAACACCAAAGAATATCTATGCACTGAATGAATGTGCTAGAACAATACTACTGCAAGTTTGATCACTAAACTGCCAGGATCAACATCCATTAGCGGTGGAACTTAAGAATCTGGTTTCATAGGCTATCCAGATGATTTTTCTGAATGCTAGTTTTAGGAACACTGTTCTGGAGGACTAAAAAAGAGAGGACATAATTTTTTCCACACTGACTGTGCTAATTTAAATTCTCATCAATAGTGTATTAGGGTTCCCTTTCCACCATATCCTTCCTAGTACTTGTTATCCTTTATTCATTTTCATAATTTGTCTTTTAGGGACCTTACCTCCAGAAGGTATTGCAAACATCTGCAGGGGGCTAGAATTCTTTGTGGTAGTGGGGATTGAACTCAGGGGCACTCTACCACTGAGCCACATCACTAGCCCTATTTTGTATTTTATTTAGAGATAGGGTTTCACTGAGTTGCTTAGCACCTTGCTTTTGCTGATGCTGGCTTTTAACTTGTGATCCTCCTGCCTCAGCCTCCTGAGCTGCTGGGATTACAGAGCTGTTGGAATTACAGTCATGCAGGACGGCACCCAGCACGGGGACTGAAATTCTTAAACTCTCTCAGTGTGCTATGTGAATAAACGGGGCAAAGTTCAGATTTTTTACTTTTACAGACCACACATGGTAGTCCTTCAAAACTGTACTCAGATACACTCAATATTGTAAGTTGAGTATATTCAAAACATATATTAATGTGTTGATATGTAAATGTGCTTAAAACAAAACTGTATTTTTAGTAGAAATGAAGTCAAGTCTGTTATAATATTTTAAGAAGATCTTCATTTGTAAGTAGATATGACAGAATTTTAAATTTACAAAACTGATAATACATAATATACATTCATTTTACATACTTAAAATAGCTAAGGAAATGAAAAGGTGAAAAATGAGAGGTAGCGAAATTCTATTAGTGCTATATTGAATTCTATACATATTAATATATTAGGAGACTGGAGGAGAAAGGGGAACTAAATTCTAAGAGAAAAAATGTGGAGAAGGGATCCCTATGATCTTAGGAAAAGATAAAAGTGGAAGTAAAATTATATTCAAAATGTACCTAAAAATTGTTAGACATGCATTAGTGACAGGGAACTAAATATCATTACTCTTAGTGGTATAAAAGGAGAATGAAAAAAGGACAGTATTTTTGCTTTTTTATTAGCTCTAGTTATTCTCACTCTTTTTTCTTATTGCCATGACTTTGGAAGACTTGATTTAGTTATTGCAATTTGCTAAAGACAACATTGCTAACAATTTTGCCTTTACACATTGTGTGTCTTGAATAAAACTCATGAGTTATGGTTACTAATAAGGAAAGGAGGTGAAGGAATTAGGTGACCTAATCCATAAACTACAGAAAGCAGTAGTATTTGCTGATGGTGTCGCTTGAAACCTGACATGCACTTGAATCCCTAGGAGAGATTGTTAAAACAGAAAGCTGGGCCACACCCACAAAGGTTTTGATTCAGTAGGTCTGAGAGGGACTAAGGAATCTGAATTTCTAACAAATTCCCAAGTGATGTTGCTGCTGCTGGTTTGAAACACACTCTTTGAGAACCATGGCTTTAATGGAAACAATAATTACAAAACCAAAGAAGAGCCAGGTGGACACTTAAAGGAAATGGTATCTCCCTATGTAGGTTTACCTCTAAACCACAGAACATTAGTTGCAAGTGTTCACCTGCTCAAGTAACTAAGTTTACATTTCAAACCCCAAGGGACATAACTGATAAAATTAGTAGTTACAGAAATTTCTATACAAAGATGATATTTAAAAATAAAACAGTCATTTGCCTATTTAAGAACTATTGTTTGAAATTTTGGTACTGACATTCTACTTAAAAAGTAATAATATAAATTTAAAATTTCTGTCTAGAGTAAAATTCAAAATAAGAATTAAAAAAAAATCCTTGTGTTAAATATAAACATAACCTAATTTATTATTTCCTAAACCAATTATCATTATTATTGTTATTTTTGGTGTAGGGGATTGAATTCGGGGCAACACAGAAAACCCTCATCACTGAATTACAACCCCAGCCCATACCAATTATTTATTTAGTTAGTTCCAAACCCACTATTAAAAAACAAAATATAGTCATATAAAAGAATTCTTTTGGCAAATGTGCTATATTTGTAAGTATTAGCCACTTATTAAAAACACATTTCTATTAAAATTGCATCTAAATTCTTAGAATACTTGATATCTGGACCCAGCTAAGCTTTTATTTTACAGATCAAAATGCATGGACAAAAATACATTACAATTATCAATGAAGTCTTTCTAATTTTGCTTGAAGGGATTTAAAATTCCCAGTGATGGTTTGGACTGCTACTGAAGAGCTCATAGACTGGAGCTCAACCAGATAACCACAAACAGCATCCAGGCAGAGATTTGTAAATCTTCTCCTGTAAAGGAAATGATACCGGATCAATTACCTATACATTTAGAAACATTACCTTTTATAGGGTCTCTTCTTTCCAATTCTGCTAATCTTACTTTTAGTCTCATAGAAAAGCAATGATTACATTAATGGCAAATACTTGAAAACTGAGAAGGACACTTTGGGAGAGGCCAATTACCAAATAACCACAATTTTCCATTTGAAGAATATTATAATGAGGAGTCACTAAGGGATGATTCCTGTTAATATTATTTATATCGTTTTGGCTTTTTTKTGTGTGTGTGTGGTGCTGGGGATTGAACCCAGGGCTTGTGCATGCAAGGCAAGCACTCTACCAACTGAGCTCCCCAGCTCCTCTTTGGCTTTATCAAAAGAATAATATATGGCTCAAGTGGTAGCGTGCTCGCCTGGCATGGGTGCGGCCCAGGTTCGATCCTCAGCACCACATAAAAACAGAGATGTTGTGTCCGCCGAAAACTAAAAAATAAATAGAAAAAAACTAAAAAAAAAAAAAAAAAAAAAGAATATTCCTGAAAATGGCCAAACATATCACAATGACATAACTGAAATATCTTAGTACTGGGTCATTAATTTAAAGCACAAGATGTTTAGAAGTCATTCATAAAGGATACACGTTCACTTGTAGAATTGATTAAGGATTGTGTGGGCTGGGATTGTGACTCATCGGTAGAGTGCTCGCCTAGCACGTGGGAGGTCCCAGGTTCGATCCTCAGCACCACATAAAAATAAATAAAATAAAGATATCGTGTCCAACTACAACTAAAAAATAAATATTAAAAATTAAAAAAAAATTACGGCTAAAACACTAAAAAAAAATCCCACTTTTCATAAATGCTGATATCAAAAGTTACTGCTGATGTAAACAGGACATAATCTCTAATCCCCACATTTTCCCACATTCTCTCAAAATTTGTTACCCAGGTATTTATTAGAAGCATTTAAAAGCTTTTTCTAGAATACAATATTTAATCATAGTTACCTCTCACAATTTGAAACTTGGTTAGGATTCTCAACATATTTTGCTAATAGCACATGGATACAATCCAAAAGGTGTAGTGGCTTCTTCATTCTGTTCCAGAATGGATCCTATAAAGAATATATGTATATTTAGATTAAATGAGTTATAAGGCAAACTGTGTTTAATATTTTGAACTTAAAAACCATGCTGAAATATCTCGTAGGAGGACTTGATGTACTGTGATGTACTTTGTAGAACATGTAAATGTCCTGTTTAGGAATGTGATGTGAAAGAAAAGTCTATTTATGGGCTATGATACGATTTTTACTTTGAACTTACACAGTCTTACTCTGGCATAATACAAAGACTACACTAGCAGTCACAGAATCTTAAATCTGGCTTCAACAGTTCCTAGACATGTGACTTGAGCAGGTTAGTTAATTTCTCTGCTCTTGTCCTTTTGCAACAGATAACGAGGATACTACTATTTGCTCATTTCCATCATAGGTATATTATGAGGCTCAAATAAGAAGGATGCATAAGATGCCTTGCAAAGCACTGTTGTGATGCTACTATAAAAACAAAAACAAAACAAAACATCTAGTTCAACAAGGTTTTATTTGGAATCTTTAACTTAGTATAAAAATTACAAAATATATAGTCTGATAGGGTTCAGTATGGGTGAGAATAATTGTTAAGCACTGATACTTTTGATTAGGTTACACTGAACAAATATACTGTTATTTTGTTCTTTCAAAATAATTTGGCTTGGGATGTAGCTCAGTGATAGAGCACTTGCCTGGGATGTGCAAGGTGCCTGATTTGATCCCCAGTACCACCAAAAAAAAAAGAGAATTCTTAAATGTTTGGTACATACCCTGGTTTAGCCCATCCAACCAAGAGTAAAGTATATATGTTTATTAATATTAAAAATGTTAACATTTCATTTTAATCATGGCATCTCTCAGCAGTTTTTAAAGTCTTAAGTATAATTTCTAATGGTCAATGAAGCAAATCCCTGCTGCACTTCTATTAGATTAAGTGATATCATAGTTAAAAATATGAAATCAAAATGTCCCACTCTGTATCTAGAAAAATTAGTTTAATTAATTAAATAATTATCTTAATATTTTTCCTTACCCTTGATTTGAATAGTTGATCATAAACTTCTAATAGTCTAGGTAATGGTACTCCAATTTCATTCATGGTCTGTATTACAAACCCTACATCCCAGTTCAAAGTACAAACTTGCTGCTCTAAGAACTGTACAATAAAATCTAGAGAAAGAAAAAGATTTGAAATTAGAATTTTTTAAAACTCTTGACATTAGAAGTTAAGTCTTACTCATAGCTGAGTAGTTTCTGGGGGATATCTTTTGAAAACCAATTAAAAATATGTAGGGTGCTGAGGGTATAGCTCAGTGGTAGAATGCATGCTTAGTATGTAGTATGTACAAGTCACTGGATTCTATACCACCACCCAAAACCTCCCAAAATAAACAAAAAAACACACACATTCTCTCTCTCTCTCTCTCTCTATATATATATATATACACACACACACACATGTATATATATGTACATATATTTATTTATTCTAAACCCCCCTAACTTTGATAAACACACTCATGCACCAGAACAGGCAAATCTGGAGGCAAAAAAGTAGATTAGTGGTTCCCTAGGGCTGGAGGATGGGGAAGAATGGGTAATGACAACTAATAAGTACAGGGTTTCTTTTTTTTTCCTCCTCAGTACTAGAGATTGAAATCAGGGGTGTTTTACCACTGAGCTACGTCAGTCCTTTTTGTTTTTTGATACAGGATCTTGCTAAGTTGCTGAGGCTGACATTGAATTTGTGGTCTTCTTGCTTTAGATTCCTTAATTACTAGGATTACAAGAGTAGTAGGACAGAGTTTCTTTTTGGGATGATGCAAATGTCCTAAAACTAGACTATGATAATGGCTGCACAACTCTATGAATATGCTAAAACTATTAAATTGTACACTTTCAAGATACTAAGAAAAAACTATAACATCTTAAGGAACTCAGAAAAATATGAAAAGGTACAAGAAGAACAGAGACTATTCATAATTCTACTAGAGGATCTGATAGTTTTTGAAAAACATATTTTAAAAAACTGTATCTTTAATAACTTTTCAGAAAGGGCTACTGCATCCTGATTTTAAAATGTTAAAAAATTTTAATGCCTCACACTCTGGACAAGTTGGGATTACATGCATTCATCACTTCATCTAGCTTATGTTTGCTTATTTATTTATTTTTTAAGGTGCTGGGGATTGAACCCAGGGCCTTATACATGCTAGGCAAATGCTTTACCACTAAGCTATACCCTTAGCCCTTGTTCTTTTATATACTTTATTTCTCTATCTGTGAAATGGCACAGTACTCTTAATACTATGCCTACAAGAAATAGGGGTATGATTATAATGGTTGCATTTCTGACCATGTTCAAGGAGTGGATGCTAACCATCTGAGGTGGCCTATAAACAACTTTGAATGCCCATGAAAAAAAAAATAATTTAAAGAGGGATGGGACAAGAAAAGATTAGAATAAATCTGACATAACTTTCCTATGTACCTATATAAATATACCACAGGGAATCTCACCATTGTGTACATCCACAAGAAATTAATTTTAAAAAAATAAAATAAAACAGGGGCTGGGGTTGTGGCTCAGCGGTAGAGCACTCGCCTAGCATGTGCAAGGCCCTAGGTTCAATACTTAGCACCACATACAAGTAAATAAATAAAATAAAGGTATTGTGTCCAACTACAACTAAAAAATAGATAAAAAACAAAACAAAAACAATGAGAGTGTTAAAAAAAAACACTATGGGTAAATGATAGAAAGATCAATTGAGGGAAAAGAGCATGGGGTAGGGAGAGGGAAGGGGAAGAAGAGGTACTGAATTARAATATATTCCATGCTTTTATAATTATGTCAAAATGGCTTCTACCGTCATGTACAACTAAAAAGAACCAATTGTTAAAAAAAATTGAGAGCTGGGGATATAGCTCAATGGTACAGCACTTGCCTAGTATGACTCTGGGCTCTATCTCTAGCACTGTAATATATGTAAGTAAATGAATGAGTAAAAGTAAAAGAAATAATGCTATGTTACGAGCACATTCATTCATGTTTTTCAATATTTTTCAATAACATAAAAGTGCTTAGTATTCCACTTCATGGATGTATTTTTGGTGCTTCTATTGTTTTAAAACAGAAAAAACTACAAAACTACAGTAACTCAATAGTTGCCTATAAAACAATTATAGTCTGCATAGGAAAGGGGTTCAAATAATTAAGATTGTAACCTAACCATTTAAAGATAATCTGTGTAACAGAGTAGTTAAATCAAGCATAAAACATCAGAAACTTTCCTCTTCACAACCTTGTACTGAGTTACCAACAATATAATCACTTATAATTTGCAATCTGCACAATCCCAAAATGGATATTTAAACTTGGAAAGTTGGTAAAAGTGTTTCATATTCAACTATTCATGAACAAGTTATGCTATTTTCTGAGGTCCTTTATTTTAGAGGTATATTTAAACTGCTGAGCTCGATAGCAACAAAGATATTCTATTTTTCACTCTAAAGATCATTACTTCTCAATAAAGAAAAAAGTCATCAGGCTGGGGATGTGGCTCAAGCGGTAGCGTGCTCGCCTGACATGCGTGCGGCCCAGGTTCGATCCTCAGCACCACATACAAACAAAGATGTTGTGTTCGCCGAAAACTAAAAAATAAATATTAAAATTCTCTCTCTCTCCCTCTCCCTCTGTCTTTAAAAAAAAAAAGAAAAAAGTCATCAAATGAAGAAAATCATCAGAAAATGGAACATGACAGCACCTAAGGTTACTGCTTACCTAAAGGGAAGAAGCGAGGTGTACCAGCATAAATTTTGCCAAGGAGGACGATCTTCAGACTGAGAGCATGCATTCTATCTGTGGAGCTCAATGTTACACTATCATTCAACTCTGTAAGAAAGAGATATGTCAGTAGAAACCCAAATTATTTTTAGTGTAAAATGTTTATATTGGCTATTTAATTGTTTCAAGGTTCGAAATATTATAGAATTGAGATTCACATTCATATAATTAGCAGATTCTGTGTTCCTGTTACTGTCTGATAAATGCTCTCATTTTACCAGATTATAAGATTTGAGGGAAAGTGTCACAATATCCCTTATTATGTAGCATAAATCCTAGAAATGACACATTCTTTCTACTGAGGGTGTTTCCAGATTTTTAGTGGGATTGCTGTCTATATGATCGCCCTCCACTCTATACAGATGCCCCAACTCTCTCTCTTCTTAGGTATACCTTTTTCCTTAGCCCTAGGAATATTATCTACTAGCAGTTTGCATGCCTCTACCATATCACTAAATAATGTATGTTAATTTACTATAATCCAACACTTACCTTTCTCTATGATATCTTGCCAAAGGGTCTGCACCAATATGGGGTCTGAATAACCAGCACAATGAATTATTCCAAGTTTACACTCTGCGAGTTTAAATGGGTCAGCAAATTCCCCATAAAGCTGTGGGAGAAAAATCCCACAATTAAACAACCAAGCAGAGATTAATATTGAAGTATTCCTTCAAAATTAAAAATAATCAAGATATCAAAGTATCTAAACCATGATACAGGGTAGATATTCATTATCCAAAATGCTTAGGAATAAATGTTTCAAATTTTGGAATATATAAATATACACAATGAGATATTTTAAGGATAGGAACTAAGTCTAAACATTTAATTCATTAATGTTTCTTACATGCCTTATACACACACACAGCCTGATCAAAGTCTTATATAATATTTTAAATAATTTTATGTTTTGACTATGACACATCACAAGGTCAGGCACGGAATTTTCTACTTGTGTTATCATATTGGTGCTCAAAGCTTCAGATTTTGGAGCACTATGGATTAGGAATGCTCAACCTGTATAAAGATGGTTATAACTCCAGGGCTAGGGATATGGCTCAGTTGGTAGAGTGCTTCCCTCGCATGACAAGGCCCTGGGTTCAATCCCCAGACCACAAAAAAAAAAAAAGATGGCCATAATTCCAGATTAGTACTTATCTCCTTTTTTTTCTTGGCCAGGCAGAGGTACTGTAATGATACTTCTTTTAGAATTAGTGTTGTTTAAACCAGATGTTCATAATTAAGAGAATACTGACAAATCTTGGGAGTGTTTCAGGGTATTTGGAACTATGTCTAAGAATAACTGAAGAAGGAACTTTAAAGAAGGGTACAGAATGAGAGAGGCTTGGAGAATTAAGTAAACATAAGTTACTTTTCCCAAGGCAAGAAACAAGGCCATAAATTAGCTGATTTTAATATAGCCCCCCAGGTGAGACTAATACSTTCTTCTCAGCTACAAGACTGGCAGGGGAAGCTCAACACTTTCTAGGAGTCAGATGCAACAGTTATCATCTACTCATCTAGTGACAAGCTACCAAGGATAGCTGTTCTTATTTTGTAGAGGTAGAAYCATATTTCTCAGGAAACAAAAAGCAAAATATGAAACAAAGAATTTCTAAAAGTAAGGTGACCATTATAGGCATTTCACTCGATTTTTTATTACCTTAGTTATGTCCATTAACTCAGAATCCAACTGAGAAATTGCATCCTGTACAGAAGAATGATGGGAATACTGTCTTTGTAGTGTTTCTTGAATTTGAAGTTGGATCCTAGCAACCTATTTTGGATAGAAAATAATGTTTTAATCTCTTTATGATAAGTTAACAAATGCTTGAAGGAATAACTCCCAGTAAAGTTAGCTAAAATAAAAATAATATATAATTAAGATCTCTATTATAATAGAGTAACATCATTGTGAAGARACTTCATTTCAACATAATAGACGTCACAGGGTATGTACTACAGCAGAAAGCCTTTGCTGCCCACTAGTACCTCCCATGAATGTAGCCAGACACATAACTAACTAGACTGGCCTTTCCAGTCACCTATGCAAAGTGGTATGGCCACATGAATAAGTTCTCTTCATAGAATGAGAGCAGAAGTAAAGGGCCATGGTTTTTCTGAGTGTAAAAGTGCTTCTTATACATTTTTTTCTTTCTCTTCCTGTCAGATAAAAGCCAAGGCCCTAGGGAATGGCAGTATTAGAAAACAGAACCTGGGTCCCTAAATCAAACATGTGGAAGAAAGTCACCTGCCAATCAGGAACATCCACTCAATTTCTGTGAATGAGAAATAAGTTGTTTGCACATAGACAACTAAATTTTTTGGTCTCTTAGTTAAGGCAATTTATCTTACTCCTTATGTTTATAGAATCAATGGTGAATATACTATAACAAACATCTTGTTAAAAATGTATAAATTAAGCTGGGCATGTTGGTGCAAGCCTGAAATCCCAGCAGCTTGTGAGGCTGAGGCAGGAGGATCATGAGTTAAAAGCCAGCCTCAGCAATGGTGAGGCACTGAGCAACTCAGTGAGACCCTGTCTCTAAATACAAAATATACAAAATAGGGCTGGGGATGTGGCTCAGTGGTCAAGTGCCCTGAGTTCAATCCCCAGCACTGCTCCTCCCATGCCAAAATTTGCAAGTTAAATTGCAGCAATGTCTTTGTATTCCAAGTTCTGGTATACTTAAAATCTCTCTAAGATTTATACCTAAACAGAAAATAAATACATACAAGCAGAAGAGACTAGAATTAATAATAATCACCTCTATAAACCTCCCAATTACCAGGGAAATAAGGAAAAGTGAAATAAATATGTGGCAACTACTCTATAAGGATATAGCTTAAGTGTACTTACTTCTTTTTTTTCAGAGATACTTACTTCCATTTTTTCTTCTAATTCATGAAGGAATTCACCATCTGCAGCTATTGACGAAATGGCAGTGGAACTTTTGGCACTAAGAATGGCTCGGGCAATGTACTCTAACCGTTGCTGAAGTGAAATTTCTGTGCTAGGAGGGAAAACCCTTCATTTTTAGTTATACGATTTTGAAGAACTGAAGATATAAATATGCCATGTAGGATGTACTATTTTAAACCAAATGAGCATAAAAGGCCATTTGAAATGTGAAAAATTATTTTTCTAATAAATCTATTTTAGATTTCTAATGAGAGATTCATGATTTTAGACAACAAATTCTACATCTAAAAAGTATCTTCCTATTTTAAAACGTCAGTTCAGTATATTAAAGATTAAATAGCTGGGTGCGGTGGCGTGAGCCTGTAGACTCAGCTACTTGGCAGGCTGAAGCAGAAGGATTGCTTGAGCCCAAAGAGTTTGTAAACAGCCTGGGCAACATAGTGAGACGTTGCCTCAAAAAAACTTAAACCAAAGAAAATGAAGACAACATAGATTCTTCTACAATTAAGGAAAAACTTTTTTATTATTCCTCATATTTCTACCTTAATAAGTCTATATTACATTTAATTTTCCACACAGCACCCAGGATGACCACTTAAAATAAAACTCATGGACTACAATGATATGTATTCCCTAAAGACCCTTTAATCACCTTTTCCTAACTTCTCCCAACTTCATCTCCTTCTACTCATTCCTATGTTCACTATCTCCAACACCAGCTTTCTTTCTTGTGCCCCAAACACAACAAACCTGTATTCTGCAGCACTTCTGTACAGATTCATTACTTTGCTTTGACCACTTTTCCTCCATTTCTATATAGTTGCCTACTTCTTGCCCTTGTAGTCTCAAATTGAATGACACTTTCTGAGGACTTTTTTTTTTTAGTTGTAGATGGACACAATATCTTTATTTAATTAATTAATTTATGTGATGCTGAGGATTGAATCCAGTGCCTCACACATGCTAGGCAAGTGCTCTACCACTGAGCCACAGCCCCAACTCCTCTCTTGAGGCCTTTTTCAACGACTCCTAACTACAACAGCTCCCCACCCCTGCCAGGCACTTGCTATTATATTATACATTTTTATTGTATTTATAGAACCTGAATTTATTTATCTCTGGTCTTTGTCTACTAGAAGGTCAGAAGAGGATAGTGCCTGTCTTGTTCACTACTGCTTCCTGAATGCCTTGAACACTGGCACTCAAAACACATTTGCTTGCTGACCTATTGATAGGTATTAGAAAGTCCCAAGCATGGATCTCATGGCTGCCAGCTTCAGTCCTTTATATTCCACGAACTTGACATCATAAATTAGCTTGTCATTAAAAGCAAACCAATTCATTTACTTGTAGGGAACCTCTCATCAATCTGCATTAAATTTATCTTTTGCAACCAATTCATTCCAATTGGCATCAGGAAAAAATTGACGTTTTCTACTCTCAAAGAAGGCTTTATTTAAACTGTCCTTCTCTATTTATGGTTCCTTTTTTTCTTCAAACAAAAGAAACCAAATTTAAAAAGAACTCTCTCTCTCTCTCTTCTGTTTTTCAAAGCAGAACTGTGTATGGCAATTAACTAGCATTACCCTTAAGGCTAAATATTAAGTACTCTGTACATTTAGGGGCCCTGTTACTAAAAGAGCTTTACTCCCGGTTCCAACTCCAACTCCCTCTCAACTGAATATTTAAAAAGCAAGTAATATTTCCAAGTTATTTTAAATATAACATTCTATGGCTGCCAATTAATTTGGTGCAGCCCATATATACAAGAAGATTGCAGTGAACAAAAGAGCAAAAAGTAATGCAATCGTTGGAAAAATTTACTATGGAAAAAGACTAAGTGAGAACTAAAGGGTGAATGGATAGGGAATCTCACATAGGAGGAAATTAGGTTATGTGTGATAATGAATGTTCTTAAAAGGGAGTTTCTAAATCCAGGAATATAATGATTTTTGCAATAAGATAAAGGGTAAAGTACTATTAAAGATGGGCAATTAAGAGACTTTAATTTTCCATTTTGTTTTGTTTCTGTGGTACTTAGGATGGAACCTCAGTTGATACATGCTAGGCAAGCATCCTTCTAATGAGCAACATTCCTTCATTAAAATTTTATTTTGAGAAAAAGTCTCAAGTTGTCTAGGCTGGTCTTAAATTTGCAATCCTGCTTCAGCTGTCCAAGTAGCTAGGATTATGGTGTGTGCCAAAGTACCTGGCTAGAGATGTTAAAGTTTTAAGGCAATATGGCACAATAAAAATGGCATAAAGAGATCTATATGGTAATGGTATTTAGGACTACATAAGAATAATAAGAGTAATCTTGAAATGAAATACTAAAAGTCTGGATTAGGGCACAGGCCATATGTAACTCTAGAGTACAGCATGTAACATGTTCTCAAACATTGGATTACATAACTTTAATTCATGTAGCTACAATGAATTTAAAGTTTAATAATGTTAATCCTTAATTATAAAAGTTATAAATTAATCAAGGCTTTTACTGGCAACTGTCTTTAGGACTTTAAAGTCATTTCATCTTTTGCATGAAGGGGAACTTAAAAAAAATCAAGTAACTATTATGACTAAGGAAGGAGAGAAAACTAAGAAACATGTGCAATATAATATATATCTGCACATTAATGCGCATAATCACACTTGCTATAACTGAATTTTTTTCTTTTGGTGCTGGAGATGGACACAGGTCTTGGTACATACTAGATTTGTGTTCTACCAGTAAGCTACACCCTTGGGTTACCACTACCCCCTGATTTTTACAAGATCTCACTATAATACTCAGGATGGCCTTGAACTCCTGGGCTCAAGTGATCTTCCTGCCTCCTCTTCCTGAGTTGCTGGGATTATAGATGTGTGCCAAAGCACCCAGATCCATATGAACTCTTTAAGCAATAATTCTCATCAATGTGATTTGATATCAACTCTGTCTCCATACCTTTCCTTGCTAAATCAACCAATCCCCAGTTTTTGAAATAGTTACACATGAAAATAGAAGGWTAAAAGAATGATCTTTCCAATATTATATCAAATGATCATTTGATAATAATAATATAATTTAAATCTCCATGATTATCTTAATGAAATTCTTAATCCTTAATATGTAAGCTGTGAGACATTTTTAGTAATTTAATACAACATAAGAAGGGCTGGGGATACATCTCAGTCTGTAGAGTGAGAAATAGTTTTTGATCTTTTACTTAATAATAATTAACTACTGTTACTCAGAAAGAGTATAAAGACATACTTTAAGGAAAAAAATTATAAGGCAGTTTGAATAAAGAGGGTCTAATGAAGATTCTTTTATTACCTACCTACCATACATTATTATTATTTTTTTTTAATACCTTTATTTCACTTATTTATTCTTATGTGGTGCTGAGGATCAAACCCAGGGTCTCGCACGTGTGAGGTGAGCGCTCTACCACTGAGCCACAACCCYAGCCCATACACTATTTTTTTTAAAAAGGAAGCTGGGTATGGTGGCACACATCTGTAATCCTAGGAGTTCAATTCCCAGTACCCCACACCCCACAACAGAGAATTATGATCTATAGGTAAATTCAAGTAAAAGCGTAAAAAATTCTACTTAAATTGAATTAAAATTCTACTTAAAAATTCTACTTAACTTGAACAGATTTCACTTCATTTTTGAAATCTGTATATAACTACATATAACTAGGTCTTTAATAATTCTTCACAATGAGAATATTATGCCATACCTATGCATGTCAGCCAATTTGGATAGGACACGAGCAGCATTACTAAAACTTCTGTTCTTCTCATAATACCTCCAGAGTAAATCCATATAACGAACTTTGTTTTGATCCACTTTGGCCATTCGGACTAGATATGGCTCCAGAAATGGAGAAGCAATCTAGAAATTATATGGTTACTCAGAAAAATGTTCTGAACACCAGTCTTAAGTCAAAAACACAATATTTCTAAAGCAACTATAATTTTGCTTTGTTGCATGAAATAAGCAAAATTAGAATCCAATAAAATAAGATAAAAGAATAGGCAATTTTTCTCATTACAAATTATTCTTGTTTTACTAGCTAACAAGTTTCTATAACAATTCAATTAGGTTAATCAAAATAAAATTACAAATCTTTAAATAAGCTTTGAGAACATAGATATTGACTAGGTTCTGAGCTCAAAGGTGCCCTTAAAATTAATGAATGTCAGATAGTCATTTTATAGAAAAAGGAATATTGAGAGAGTAGTAAAAGAACATGTCCATAGTCATACAGTGATTTAAAAGCAGAGATAAGATGAAGTTCATAATTCATAAACCAGTCACTTCTACTCCACAATGTACATTATCCTAAATACCTTCTAAGCAAGAAAGTTAAAGCAACAGTCTACTTGGCCTCTTAGGAAAAGAAATTATATAACACACTTAGGTTTATAACAACTGATGGTAGGTACAGGACGAGAAAAGAATTTCCTACAACTATATATTTGCTTAAATTACTAAGTTATACTAGTTAAAAATATAAATTAATATTAACAACACTGCAATAAAAAACATTTTTTACCTGTAGTAGCTTATCGGCAAGGTCAGCTTGTATTAACCAATTATAAAGAGCAATACTAAAGAGCTCATCCTTGGATCGCTGAGCCAATTTGAGCATTTGTTCAAACTAAAATAAATAAAACAGCAAAATTAGCATAGTTAAAGGTTTTGTTGTTGGGCATCACAACACTTTAACTCTAAACCCCTAATAAGAAATCAAGAATGGGGCTGGGGATGTGGCTCAAGCAGTAGCGCGCTCGCCTGGCATGTGTGCGGCCCAGGTTCGATCCTCAGCACCACAAACAAACAAAGATGTTGTGTCCGCCGAGAACTAAAAAAAATAAATACTTAAAAAAAAAAAAAATTCTCTCTCTGTCTCTCTCCCCTCTCTCACTCTCTCTTTAAAAAAAAAAAAAAAAAAAAAAGAATCATTGAACAGAAACTTCTAAGAGCTACTACCTTTCCTCAAGTGATTATGCCACCCCTACCTTACAGAATTTCTAAAACACGGTGTACTTTCACAAGAAAATATGCTATTCCCCTTACATGGTGTCCTGCTTCTTCATTGCTCAGCATATTGGGATCAGATGATAGCACTGGAGGACCAGGTTTTTTGGGTACACTAGGAGACTGAGGAGCAGCCTTACTTTGATTTACAAGCTCTTGAAGGGTGTCTGTAATGCACTTGTAGCTGTTTAATCTGAAATAGAACACAAAAGGAAGTATGTTATTTAACTAAAAGCATTTGATTTACTTTATAAAATGTAAATATATACAAGAAAATAGTATATACACAAGAAGTATACTTGGGCAATACAAATACATATTTAGTATTAAAAATAACAAGCCCGGAGTGGTGGCACATGCCTATAATCCCAGCACTTGGGAGGCTACAGCAGGAGGATCACTTAAACCCATGAATTTGAGGTCAGTGTGGGCAACATAGCAAGACCCTATCTCAAAAATAGATTAAAAAAATATACTTTCTCTGGGCTGGGGTTGTGGCTCAGGGGTAGAGCACTCACCTAGCATGTGTGAGGCACTGGGTTTGATCCTCAGCACCACATAAAGTAAAATAAAGACGTTGTGTCCACTTCTAACTAAAGAAATTTWAAAAAAAATTAAAAATAAATAAATAAAATACTTACCATTATCCTGAATGAAAACCCCACTTTTGTTTTCAAATGTTTTCCCCTTTAAAAAAATCAATAAAGTCTCAAAAAACCCAAACAACTCCTTCCACAACACCAAAATAAAAAGAAAAACCACAGATGTAGGTCCAAAAACATTTATAATTTCTTAAGAATTTTCTTCAGATAAAAACTTTATTTCTGGGCTAAAAATTTTAATACTGATACAAGTCTTTATAAAACAATTAAGGCAGAATTAAATTTTATAAAGGTTATACTTGGAATATTATTTCCCTAATACTATCAATCAAAACTTGACACAAAAGTCTGAGGGGCTGGGGTTATGGCTCAGCGGTAGAGCGCTCACCCGGCATGTGTGAGGCTCTGGGTTCGATCCTCAGCACCACATAAAAACAAACAAATAAAATAAAAATGTTGTGTTCATCCACAATTCAAAAAATTAAAAAAAAAAAAAAGTCTATCTGAAAGCTGATAATTGGCTAAGGTAATAGCAGTCACCTTTCTTGGAAAGCTTGAAGTCCAACCATGTCTTCTTCTGGCTCTCCATGTTTATAGAAATGAAGTCCAAGACCCTGAGGATCTTTCTTCTCTGCAGCAGTAAGAGAAAGTTCCACCACACCCTCATAAAAACGCACTAATGGGAAAGAAAAGGACAGCATATTTATCCTATAATTAAGTTGAATATAATTTTCCTTAGCTGGCATATAAAACTAATCATTAAGGTCTATGATATATTAGTCTCCCTAGTGGCAACATCACAGAATGTTTCTGGTGAGACTATTAAAGAAAAAGGTCTTAATATGCTTTTCAGGCAGGTAGTATTAAAAAAAAATCATACTTAAAAATAACAGAAAGTAGGATTTCAGTTCTTTGTTAGGGGAAAAAAAATCTTCAGGTACAAAATAATAACTGCACTAAGGGCAATAGCTTTTATATTAGGTTGGATCTGATTTAAAGTAATTTCAAATAAAGGAGGCATACTTTATTTTGAAAATCAGTAAAGAAATTTTAAGTATTTTAAAAATAAATATTACTAATAGTTAACTGGACAAGAACTAAAACTCCAACGTTAAAAAGTTACAAATTTCAGGCTGAGGGTATACCTCAGTGGTAGAGCCCTGGCCTAGCAAATGCAAGGTCCTGAGATCAAGCCCTAGAAAAGAAAAGTTACATTTTTCATGTTATCACTTAGGCCACTGACAATGAAGAAAGATTTGCCTCTGGGAAGAGGCATTTCATCATCACCTTACTTTATTCACATACTGTCATATATCCTCGGAGATGAGTAATAGGTAAGATGAACATTTTATTTCTTACCTTGTCTATACTGAATGCAAACGTTGGAAAGATCCACTTGATTGCTGATCTTTTGATATTCCTTTAATGATTCCCTTAACATTCTTTCCTTTTCAGACTTACTTTGAACTTGTCGGGAACGCTGGAGAAGCTCATTTGCCTAGAAGAGATGATAAAAACTTTAAAATAATATAAAATCAGGGGGATGATGCTGTCAACATAAATTTAAGTCTATGTCTAAATTTATATGTGGTTTACCACAATTAAAAATAAAAACAACTCTACAAACTTACTTCTTCTTAATTTTAGGCAGAAAAGTTTTTGATCAAAATTATCCTAGCTATTCTTAATTCCTCTCACAAATATGTTAATCAAGACAGTTTTGTCAGGTAATTCTCTTGCCTAGTCAATACATTATTGGTCAGCAGGCAGTCCATGTGACACTGATTTATTTATTTTTTCAACCTGTAGGAAAGGATCAATAAAAATTGTTCCATTAACTCTAATTCATAATAGATTTACTTAAAGTTTTGGTGATTTTCCTTAATTTCTAAAGAGAGACACAAATTCCCTAATTTCTAAATTCAGTGTTTTCCCTTAATTTCTAAGCTTTTTCTTTAAAAAAAAAAA